GCATGATTTTTTTTTTAAAGCATATGAAAACATAATTTTCATTTGTTTAATAAAATCTTAATAGTGTCGTGCCATGACGCATTTTATAACGTATGTTTGTTCTAAAATAGAAGTGCTCTAAAAAAGAAGACAGAAGTATTTATTGCTAAATAAGTACTCATTTCCCAGTCAGATTACACAGCTGTGTTTAGCAATCTGTGGTGATATTAAAATGAAAGAATTCCTTAAATGGAATCATATGGTTTGTTCCAATTTCATTAGCAATTTCCCTTACGACTCAGCTTTTTAAATGCAATAATTGGCAGGTTATTTCATTCAGCATAATTCTGGAAATTGCTGAAGACAAAATGTTATAATACAACTTAAAGAGAGTTCACCCAAAAATGAAAGTTTTGGCATCATATACTCACATTCATGTCGTTCTTTCTTATGTTTATTCATAAAAGATGATATTTTGAATAATGCTGGTAATCAAACAGTTGATAGTGCCCATTGACTTCCATTAGTATTTCTTACCCTATGGAAGTCAATGGGGACCATCAACTGTTTGGTTCTTCAAAATAATCTTTTGTATTCAAAAAGAAACTTATACAGGTTTGACATGACATGAGGGTGAATAAATGATTACAACATTTTCATTTTTGGGTGAACTATTCCTTTAAAGGTGTACATTTTCATCTTGTATAAAACTGAATTTAGCTGAGGTGTTTAATATACCCACAATTCGAGTGGAAGGAATTTTAAAGACCTCTGGTAAAGTCTGAACAGGATTGAATAACTTCAAGAGTGGCATATGGTGTTTCTCCATTAAGTTCTTTAGGCATGAGAGCATAATGGACAACAACACTTTAGTGAACCACTACTTGAGAAAACAGTCTGATAAAGGTTCATTGAGTGCAAAAGGTGAAGATTCTGTATGGTCAGAGAATCTTATTATACCAATTACACTGAATCAATCCATTAGTCATGCCATGCTTTAACTTACGTGTTCCCATGAGTATGTAGAGATTTCTTATTATTTTAATATGCTCGTTTGTTTCCCTTATTTTCTGTGGGTGACCAAATGCATTTGTGTAATGAACCTTGAATCTTTACAACAGTATAAGAGGCATTTGCAAAATAGATGTCATCAAAATTTAATTTAATTGTTCCTTTGTGTGTTTAATTGGTCATAAATATGGATTCTGATTTGTGGTTTTCAGAGTTATGCATGATATATTTTTGATACTCTCAGACATTTAGTCATTATAATTTGCTAATTAGATTCCTCACCACTTATTCTGCAAGTGAAAACCACCGTGACCCATTACTAAATATGTTTCTGTTTAAATAACACATTTACTGTAAGGAGGCATGGCCATAAACTTAAACCACCACTTTAAAAAAAATTGAGTAGAAGAGTAGAAATGCCACTTTATCTTCTGTATTGTAAAAGAAGATCAAATCTAAGTTTATAATTGGTGTTACGCATACAATGTGGGAAAAGGATTTGACATAGTAAAGGGTTAGTTCACCCAAAAATGAAAATTAGCCCATAAATTACTCACCATCAAGTTATCCTAGGTGTATATGACTTTCTTCTTTCAGACGAATCCTGTCGGAATTATAATAAAAATTGTCTTTGATCTTTCAAGCTGTTTAATGCCACTCAGCGGGTGTTGCATGCATCAGTCCAAAAGAAGTGAAATAAAAAGCGCCCATCCATAAAAAAAGTGCCTCACACAGCTCCGGGGGGTGAACAAAGGCCTCCTGTAGCGAAAATATCCATATTTATCCATGCACAACGCTGACCTCATACATCATCCTCCCGGAGATGCTTCTGTCTACAACTGTTGGCGCAAGCTAGATTAAAGTGATTATTACTTTTTGAATACGGATATTTTTCTTACTGACACACATTGATTCGCTACAGGAGGTAGCTGCTTTTTTATGGATGGGTGCTTTTTATTTAACTTCTTTTGGACTGATGCATGCAACACCTGCTGAGTGGCATTAAACCATTTGAAAGATCAAAGACAATTTTTTATATAACTCTGACTGGATTTGTCTGAAAGAAGAAAGTCATACACCTAGGATGACTTGAGGGTGAGTAATTTATGGGCTAATTTTCATTTTTGGGTGAGCTTACCCTTTAAAGCCCTTTAGATGCATGTAGTCAAAGCAGTAGCATGGCACTCACTTTAACTTGCCAGCTCAATCATGGCAGCACATCACTGGATCACTTGAGCGAATGTTTGCAGAGTGTTAAAGCGCGCATGAATTTAGCACAATAGTGTGAGTGTTACAGGAGAGACCTCTTGAAGACCCTTCCCCACTGTTCCAAGCCTGCTTCTCCTTAGCTGAGGGATGTGGTACATTAGAATCTCGGTTTTGGTACCAGATATCTGCATCCTGGTTCCAAGCAATCTGTCAGGGCACAAATGTCTCTCTGTTCATCTTTACTGAGTCTGAACATTGCTACCTGCACCCTCAAAGAGAAGAAAAACACACCATAATCAAGTCCAATTCATGAGAGGACTGACAGAGTTTTTATTGAACCATATTGGCTACTAATACAGTGATTCTGACCTCGGCGGTCTGCAGGCTTTCAGCGGCTGTGGATGTCACCCTTGAGGACTGTGGTTAGGTGGTATGGTCTATTAAGAGAAACTGCAGTAACACAGGCGTTCTTGTACAATAAAGTCTATGGTTATAGGGAAGTTCATGCTGACTGAGATTCACGGTGACAAATGGTTTGTTTTATTTTCTGTTTGAGACCAGACTGGATCACCTACTGGAAACAAACAAATGAAGACTGTGATCTCTGCCAATTTAATCACTGTCAGTGAGAATGCAGCTATTTTGATGAACCAGTAGTACAATATTAGCATGACTCAAATCTGTTAATTGGGAATATACATTTTTTGTGTATTTCCAACAGACATAGTCATATATGGTTAGCAAAGATGATTTCTCGCCACTTTTTCTGTAATGAGAATCCACTGCACTGTAACATATTACTAAATCTGTTTCCATTTACTGGAAAAAATGTTTTGTAAGGAGACATGGCAGTAAACTGATTTATTGACTGATGTATGTATTCAGGAGTCACTAACGTATTTTACACAGCCTTTACTTGCAAAAACAGTAATATAGTCAAATGGTGTTGCTGTTTAAAAGAACTGTTTTCTATTTTTAAATATTTGAAAGTGTTTTATTTATTGCTGTTATGGCAAAGCTGTATTTTCAGCATCATTACTCCAGTCTTCAGTCACATGATCCTTCAGAAATCATTCTGAAATGCTGTTTTGCTGCTCGTTATCAATGTTGAAAACAGTTGTGCTGCTTAATATTTCTGTGGAAACTGTGACGCATGTTTTTTCAGGATTCTTTAATAAATAGAAAGTTCAAAACAGAATTGATTTGATATAGAAATCTGTTGTAAAATTTGAATCACCTTTTACTGCCTCTTTTGAATGCATGTTTGATTAATAAAAGTAATCATTTTCTAATAACCCCAAACTTTTGAACAATAGTCTATGATGAGGTTTTTTCTTGTTGTTTTTATTATTGTAATCATTACATTGATACTAATTGTTACCCTATAATTTTTCCCTCTGTAGTAAACAGTGACTGGTGAAAGGACTGGACAGAGCTTTGCATTCTGGAACCGTTTAGATGATGGAAAAACCAAACACCTACATTCAGCCGCAACATGCACCGGTTTATCCTGAGGTCTTCTACGAACACACTTGATCTGATATCTCTGATTTGAATTGACTGCACAAATTCATCCATTTTTCTGATGTTCTTTCCAGGTACCTTGTGAATCATCACAGGTGTGTCACTGCTAACGTTTGCAACCCCTGAATAATTTCTACAGTGTCCATTTGATGATCCACATTCAGAGGGAAGCTAACTGGAAGAACATCATGAGGCCTACTGGTCTAAGTCCAGCGGTTGCACAGCTGGACCAGTGTGGCCTTGTTAACAATGAGGAAAAGTACCTGTCTTCTTTAAACCAAGCTGTTCACATGGAAGCGCTGAAGATGTGTAGCTTGTAATTTGACCTACATTTCAGGAAATGAAGTAAATAGAGTTGTATTTTTTTCTCAGTTTTTAGACATGTTGAATGCATTTTTTTTACCAAAGTTATTGTAAGAGAAAGAAAAAAAGATTAAACAAACATTTTGTCTAAAACTAGATACTATCCACTGTTCATTTTAAATCTTTTAAATATTGAAGCTTCTGTTAATGATTATTGTATATTTTATTCGTTATAATTTTAATCATTTTCTGGTGTGTCAGGCCATTTTTTGCTATTTTTGCCAAGCTCAATTATACAATCTATCACATCTACATTACCGTTCAGAAGTTTGGATCAAGATTAGTTTAAAGAAATAAACCGCAAGGACACATTAAGTTAATCAAAATCGACACTAAAGACATCTGTAATGTTGCAAATTTTTCTAATTCAAATAAATGCTGTTCTTTTGAACTTTCCATTCATCAAAGAATGCTAAAAAAATGCATTAACAAAAATATATTATTTAAATACTTATAATATTATAAATCGGCATATTAGAAGGATTTCTGAAGGATCATGTGACTCAGAACACTAGAGTAATGGCCGATGAAAATGCAGCTTTGCCATCACATTTATAAATTAAAATAAAATATATAACATAAAACATTGATTTTAAATGAAAAACTTTGGTGTGCATAACTTTCTTCGGCAGTTTATATCACAATATTGTGCCAGACACTGAACACAGGTGTTGTTTTACCAATACATATCATTTGTATCAATCAGTAAAAACTCAAGACATTTTTATTTCAATCCATGCCAGTTCTTTGAAGTAAGAGTTTGTAATTGAGAGAGACTGACATGTGGACTCAATCTTTCTTCACCTCCAAAGATGGATGCATTGCAGCTTTTACAGATTTAGACATTTTAGAGTTGTTTATGGTTCACTTACAAATTGCTTTCGTGAAAGTTGCCTAGAGACTGATATTACGCAATGATCAATTCAGTCAACTCCTTCCAGGACAACTTTGAAGAAGGATTTTTAGATGAAGCTTTTGTAGTATTCATTGCCTGATTGTTTTTTAGGTATTCAACAATGACACTTGTAAGTGCCCTCATGCAGTGCGAGGGAACTGCAAAATGTTCTCTCATTCTTTTACCTTATATTGAAAAATCATAACCAGAACTTAAGTTTCATCTCTTATTTTTCAGATTTGCAAAGATATATATTACATAGAATATAATAGATGGATACAGTCACGCTCAAAGATATTATTGTAAGCAGTGTCCTAAACCTATAATAATTTAATACTTTGATGAAGCTGTGTTTCATTTCCTTCACCGTGAGCTGCATAGGAAATGTGTTTCTTTTTAATGATGCAAGATAGCCATGGGATATTATTTCATCTATTTGCTGTTATTCTTTGTTTTCTTTTTCTCTGTAAACTGTGGTGGCCAGAGGACTATCATTTGGGAAGCATTTTGTCCTGAACGATAATAGATTTTTACAAATAAATGCATGTTAGATTAGTAGTTCGATCATAATTTGTAACATTGGGATTTTTAATGTAAACAGCACGGCTATTAAGATTAAAACCATTAATGTTTTTTATATATTATCAATTTTAAACATACTTTAAATCTTCGAGTATACAGAATGCAGAAATTGTCTGCTTTAACACACTTGAGATGGTTGTTGGTTTTTATTTATTTATTTATGTTCACATTCATAACCCATTTGTCAGTGTACTTCACCGAAAGTGTATTTGATTTGGATAAATGTGTCTGCTAAATGAATAAAAAATCGAAACGTCAACTTAATTTAATTTTTATAGTCATAAATGCGTAAATGTAAAGATGCTCAATGAAACCCTATTAATTTTTAATATAACCTCATCATGACATCACACCTGTGACCGCCAAAATGTGTTTTATAATTTTGCAGAATTGCTCCAACCAAAAGTCTGCATGACTGCGGCTGCCACCTTGAATCAGCTGGGCTTATTACTGACTCCCTCGCTGGCCTCTCTCCAACTCAAACATCTTAGCAGAGCCTTGTTCTAACAGGAACCAGCTTTGAACATGTCTGTTTAATAAACTTCGTAGAGTGGCATGTGTGTCTGTGTGCGGATAAATGTGCATGAATTGACAACATGAATAGATAGCATTTATAGTCATTTACAACTATAGGAGCATAACACTTTTATGTGGCTTAATAGCTATAATTTCCCAACATCATTTTGAGCTTAAGGCACTTACTTGCCTTCACATCTTTCAAAACCTGTATGACTTTCTTTCTACTCCAAAAGCAATTAATGATAACTGAACATACAATCTGCTGTTTTCTATACAATGAAAGTGAAAGTTGACCACCGCTCAGCTGTCATGCAAGATTTTGAATGAATAATAACTCGAGTGTTCATCTTTTCAGAAGTAACTTGGAGTATAGTGCATAGACGTTATTTATGATGCTGTTATGGTGCTTTTTTTGTCACTTTTGAGCTTGATGGCCCCTGGTCCCCATCCACTTTCATTGTACAGTATGAAGCAGCTTGAACATTCTTCAGAGGTTCTCCTTTTGTGTTCTATGGAAGAAAGAATGTCATATGGGTTTGTAACAACATGAGGGTGAGTAATTGATGGCAAGATTTTCATTTTTTGGATGAAAAAATGTCTGTTCGTTTTAAGAAAATTCTTTGCGTTACATAACTGTCACTGTGGCAAAAACATTTCCTGTTCCAAAACTGGTATCATTTTGAGCTTTAAAAAAGACCCATTGAAAACATTTCATGCCACCACTTTCTTATTTGTCTATCAAGCATAACTTGGTATCAGACAAGACATGTCTTCTAGTTGTTTTTTTTCTCTCTTGTGTTTCATATCTTCTTCTAATCAATTGCTATAGCACATATTAATCCCTGCTTACATACAAAGCATGCTGTACTCTCTTCCACTAAAGCATGTCATAATTTGCATGCATGTGTACATGCACTTACAATGAAGAACCTGGAGATTTTTGGCTTTTTCCCTCATATGCACACATGCTTGGGTGTTTTCTTGTAGTTTGAAGGCTGCAATAAGGCATTTTCCCGTCTGGAGAACCTGAAGATCCACCTACGCAGCCACACCGGAGAGAAACCCTACATTTGCCAGCATCCCGGCTGTCTCAAGGCCTTCAGCAACTCCAGTGATCGAGCCAAACACCAGCGCACACACCTGGACACGGTATGACCATTCTTATGACTCTATCAGGTGTAAACCCAAAAACACATTAAAAATGCACTGCGGAAAATTGTACAGTTGGATCCAAAAGTCTCAGAAGAAAATACATATTTATATGCGCACATTTATTTAGTTCACTTTTCTCCATTTTAGGTCACTAATTACACAAAGACATTCTAAAAGTTCCTTTAACTTATTATAAATATGCAAAATATGCTTTTTTTTTTTTTACTAGTGGTTCTTGGACCCCACTGTATATATAGCTGTGATTTTACACTTATACCCAGTCTGTGAAAGGTGTACACCACTAATGAAAACAAACAAGCGAGGGAAGCTTACTTTTTCCAGACAAAGTAGTCGTAATAACAGGGTTTTATTTACACTAAATTCAGAGTAAGGAATTATAGTCTGGAACACTGGTGAGATCTCCTTTCACTTTAACGGCTTAAGAAAAAAAGAGAGCCACTTCAGCGACTACCAGCTCTGGCTGCACATCGTCTCTTTAATATATCAGATAATTTGACCTCCTTATGACAAGGCAAAGTTAGTTCATAATGTAAAATGTCATTGGGTTTGACCACCCTCAAAAAATGTAATGATATTTATTTATAAATATATAAATGTATACATTATATGTACTTTCTTCCTCAGTTCATTCATTTGAATCACTAATTTAACTTTGTCTCTTCTGCTGTGCCTCTTATTTTATGTAGAAACCGTATGCATGTCAGCTCCCAGGGTGCACCAAACGTTACACCGACCCCAGCTCATTGCGCAAGCACGTCAAGGTCCACTCCAGTAAAGCCCTGCAGGCACAGGACAAGGTAACAATTTCAAGTGTTTGTTAGTTTTGTATCAAGAGACTCTTACAACAACCAACAACAGCCTCATTCGATAACTTAATAACCTAAAACAAAAATACATGCAACATGCAACTAATTAGATGATCTTAATGACCTGATAAATGAAGTCACATCGTTTAATGCATTAACTTCATCAGTAATCTTCATCCCAGAGATCTTTGATGAAAAGGCCTATTGTTTTATGGGCTGTTCCTGCTTTCCAAACAAAGGAGAATGAAGGAGATCTTTGTGTATTCCCATGGCTTTGGCCTTCTAAGCAAGAACACATGTGTTCCCGTAATACAGTTAATAAGCAGTGCAGCGCTATTCCTCAAGAGGCCAGATGTGACATGCAAATAGCAAACATGCTCAGCAGCTGTTTAATGCATTAACTTCATCAGTAATCTTCATCCCAGAGATCTTTGATGAAAAAAGCCTATTGTTTTATGGGCTGTTCCTGCTTTCCAAACAAAGGAGAATGAAGGAGATCTTTGTGTATTCCCATGGCTTTGGCCTTCTAAGCAAGAACACATGTGTTCCCGTAATACAGTTAATAAGCAGTGCAGCGCTATTCCTCAAGAGGCCAGATGTGACATGCAAATAGCAAACATGCTCAGCAGCTCCACTGAATGCTCAAATGAATCAACAACAGAAAGTTGTTTCAGCCTCGGTAAGATTTTGCCGCTCTCACAGTCAAGCGGTACATCCTTACAGTACTTTTCTACAAAGGCAAAATGCAGTAAAAGCACCCATATTGGAACTGAGAAAAAGGCTTCACATTTCTTTTAGTTGAATTTCATTGATTTTATATCAGTTTTCACACTCTATTTTCTGTTTTTGCCTTTTGGCCAAATCCATCTGTCACAGATCATAGTCTAAATTACCCGATTTTGATATAGTTATTGTGTTATGGTATGTCTGCTTTATCAGAGTAGGAAATCAGTGCTGTATATTTTATGCATATGTTTTCTGTATCTTGACAGGTCCAGCTACACAATAAGGTGGAGCAGGAAGTTGTGGATGTGTGCCTTGACTTGCAGCATCTCCAAGGCTCTGCTCCTTCAATACAGAGTCCAGACCATAGGCGTCCTGCCTCCCTCAGTGAGATTCATCAGGAGGGTTTTACTGGTAGGTGTATAGCTTATGGTCTATCCTGAGTTGGGCTTTTGACTTTGGAAGGCCTGCAAGAAATTTTGCCTGCTGTAAAACTGAAGGAAGCAAAGCGTGCCAGATAGAAATGACCAGCATGTTGTGTTTTTGATGATGGTCCTGGCATCCTCTTGACAGCTTTTCTCAGAAAGACTCCAGCATCTGGTTGGACATTCATGCTGGTCTTAGCTGGTCTTTTCAGCTTGTAAAATACATATATTTTGCAGAAGGACCTAAGTTTTGTTTGTTGTCTTAATATGTTTCTGGAAAAAGGACAAAAAAGACTTCTAAAAAGAATTTGCACCTTTTGAATTTTAGATGTGGCATTTAATAAAATTTATTTTTATGGATTATTATTATTATTTTTTTTATTATTGTGTTTGTTGTACTACAATTCTCTGACACAATTTTTGGCCAAAATTCTAAGTTTGAGCATTGCTGAGAAACACAGAACTTTAAATTTTGGTCTAGTGTTTGTACAATTTGTTTGAGTTTTCGAATTTTCAACATTTTACTTTTTTGTTTTTTTTTATAATTGTAATTTTATCATTTGAATATTTACAGATAATTTTACCTCTAAAATGAATCGGAACAAAAAGTGTCATTAAAATTTAAATCCTCCACAAAAAATACATAAAGAAATAATATACATTTTATCAAAACACAAAAATCAAATCTATTTGTAATGTATTTCTAGCTCAGCATAAAACTAAACATAATTTTAGTCATGATAGTTAAGCTAAAGATAGTGTAATATGCAGTACAATGCAAAAGTTTACAGTTGGGATTTTCTGTTAAGAAAAAAACGTAAATTAGCATTAAAGTGTAAATTAATTATGGATTAAAAAACACCT